TTCAACAGCGCAATAAAACACACACTTGCACATATAAGACACTGAATGAATGGATGACTTCAACTGGTTTAGGATACTGTCGCGGCAATTTTTAACGCTCTGCCATGCCCCTCTGGAAAAATTTTTGCATGCTATATTCTTTTGATTTCCACTTTTTTAACCTTCATTCCTGACTTTTGCGTGGTCTTTGTGCCTTTTCTAACTGGGCTGAAATACAAAAAGTTGAGTACCATTATGAAGCACGCAAATATTGGCGCAACTGTGGCCATGAAGTTGAAAACTCCATCTCTGAGAGATGCCGGGCTTCTTAAGCAAAACAGCCGCTTCTGCACTGGCACAATAAATCACATTCAAAGCTAATCGTGCGTTACTTTTTTTCCCCCACGGAATGATTTACTTCAGCTTCTCTTCCCTAAGAAGCAACTTCTCTTAAAACAATTTTTCTCAGTAACAATGGCTTACAACTTAATTAATTATCAATAACCTTACAAAAGCATGAATTCTAATAGACACATTTGATCCTTCAATCCTTCACTCCCTTTTTGATCGTTCCGCCTCACCGAAAGTGTTTTCGCTGGGTTATAAAAATGACCAAATCGCAGAAACTCAAGAGTTCAAAATTTTTTAATCAAAAATTTTATTTTTTTAATCAAAATTTTTAATTTCCCTCTCCGCTGCCACTCTTTTCAAAAACTATCCCGACTGTTTTGGACAAAATGGCAAAAAAAGTACAAGGGTTGGAAAACTGTTTACACTATTGCCTCTCAGATGAGCTCAAAATATCACATGTTTTTATTTATTTGGGCCTTAATTCAGACGACAAAAAACGCCCATGAGTGCGACGTTGGAACACTTATTGTTTACAACTGCAGTTTTGCAATCACTCTTCCGGTTGCTCTGGTTCCTTGCACTGAGTCTTCAGAAATTCTTTGACCCCCGGTGACACCGCTCCAATGTTACTTGTTTTTGCAAAAATTTCCAAATGGTTTTTGCCTTTCCATATTAGGCCACATTTAAATTCCGGATCATTTTTTATCAGAAATTTGGCAATTTTATTCAAGCAATCGTGAACTTTCGAGAGCACCACATAGGGCAGTGGTTTGATTAGCTTCGAGATATCGGCGAGGGCATTCATTGCTGGCTTCCCGAAATCGCCATTGCCCTTGAACCAACCGACTATTTCCTGCAAAACTACTCCGCTTTTGAATTTTGCTCAGGTATTGTGACAATACTGCTCAGTAATGTCCTGGCATCATTTTCAACTCAACCATGGCAGGATTCATTATTGTGGCTTATAATTTTGAAAAAGAGATTAGAGAGGCAAAGAAACGATGAACGAATAGAGCAGACTAGATTTTTT